TGTATGGTTGAAGCCAAAGCACAAAAAATTGTAAATCTACAACTTTAAAAAAAATAAAATAAAATAAAGGGGAAAAAAAAAAAAAGAAAGAGCTATGCTTGGAATATCACGTTTCACTCAAATCAGAGAAAGACTCCGGAGTTCCGACCTCTGTTGACCATTAAGAATCAGGGACGCTGTCGTTTGCCAAGGTGTCAAAAATCAGATGGGCTGCTCACGTAATGAGATTTAGAGACAACCGCTGGACAGAGCTGTTACCGACTGGATTCCACGGGATGTCAAAAGACCGCGTGGCCGCCCACCTACCAGATGGTCACACTTCTTTATCAAGATCATGAACGATCGGTTTCAGACTCTTCGTGTTCCTAGAGCGAATAGACGCCATTTGGACACTAGCACGCGACAGGGACAAATGGAGACGTTACTGGCTCCCGCTGGAACAAATCGATGATTAACGGGAAGTCAAGTGATCAAGTGATCAATAAAATAAAATTAACATTCTGAATTTTTAAAAAGCTGAATTTGGGGGAGCTGGAGAAATAGAATATCTAGTAAGGGGCTTGCATTGGACATGGCCATCATGGCTATGGTCCTTGGCACTTCATATGATCCCCCAGGCCCCACTAGGAGTAATCCCTGAGCCCATAGCAGGAGTAAGCCCTGAGCACCATCTGGTGTGGCCCAATAAATACATAAATAAATAAATAAATAAATATCATGATCACGATCATGACCATCCTGTTGTTCGTCGATTGCCTCGAGCAGGCCCCAGTAATGTCTCCTTCGTCCTAGCCCTGAGATTTTTTTAAAAAGTGCCATATTAAAGGCTCTTCCAGGGTTAGGAGAATGAGACCCATCACTGTTGCTGGTATTTGGCATATATAAACAAAAGCTGAATTTGGAGTAGAGAGATAGCTCAACAGGCTGAGTGCATGCATTGCTTATGAGGGGCCAGTTTTGATCCCCAATATCACATGGGCCCCTCAGTACTGCTGGAAGCAATTCCAGGCACAGAACTGAGAGTAGTCCCCAGCACTGCTCTATGACCCCAAAACCAAAATAATTATAATTAGTTATTTGACTAGATTATAAGTAATGGGGCCTCTATAAAATTTCTCTTTAAAGCCAAGAGCATCTATCAAGAAGCTCGTAACAGTAACTGTCACCATTAAGAATGTTGGGGAAAATTCCCATGTAATATGGACAAGAGAAAGAGAAATAAGACAATTTTTTTTGAGTGCTGCCCTGCAGAAATGACTATGAGAAATAATACCCCCATCTACTTAGGGGTGGTGACAGAGATAGAACCCAGAGCTTCACATGAATAGCATGCATTGCACCACTGAGTCACAGCCCTGGCATCACGATTTTCAAATAGAAAATTTTAGGATAACTAAGGCCTTGCCATATACAGTTTTGAGACAACGTGTCAAATCTGCTTTAGGAAGCATTTTATTTGCTAACTTTAAATAGTGCTTTTGAGTCACAAGCCCTCTGATAAAAGCTATAGTACTGTAAATAAAAACCATTTCACACTGTTTGAAGGCGTTTACAAACCAATTTACATAATCATGTATACCTCAAGATAAAATCTCTACATTAAGAATTCAGATATGATTTTGTAAAAAAAGATAGCAACGCTTAACAGAGCTCTCATTAGGCAGAAACAACTTAAAAATGAGTGAAAGACTTATTTCAAAACCTATACATTTCACTTACACAGCTTTTTAAAACCTTTTTTTAGGTACTAGAGAAAAACAGATTTTTGTAAAACAGGAGATTTACAACTCTTTTTTTTTCATAATTTAATTTATTTATTTTTCTTATATTTATTTATTGAATCACTGTGGGAAAAGTTACTAAGCTTTCAGGTTTAAGTCTCTGTCATACAATGATCAAACACCTCTCCCTTCACCAGTACTCATTTTTCACCACCAAAACCCCCAATATACCCCCCTCCCACCCCTCCCAATGCCTGTGAGGCAGATGATTTCCACTTAACTCTTCTCTACATTGATTACATTCATTATTTCGACAAAAGATGCACCATTATTGTTTAGAATTCCCCCCCACCCCGGGTGGAGCCGGGCCTGTCCTCCCCACCCCAACGAGACCCCAAGTCATCGCCCACGAACGGCCTCTCTGGCTCCTCATCAAGCTGCTCAACAGCCTTGATCCCAGAGACTCAGCAACAAATCTCGAAACCCAGCGGCTTTTGTCAGAAATGTGTCCGGACCCCGCAGTAGGTTACTGTCGCCGGGCCACCCCAGGGGGGAATGGGTGCTGTCCCTCCACCTGCTCCCTCTTGGCGACTTGGTGGCTGTCATCCTCCAGAGGCCATTGGACAGTCAGGCTTGGGCCTGCAGTGACGAAACTTGTTGGGCCTCACGGGATGGGGGGGAGGGGGAGCCGGGCCTGTCCTCCCCCCGCCCCCAACGAGACCCCAAGTCATCGCCCACAAACGGCATCTCTGGCTCCTCATCAAGCTGCTCAACAGCCATGATCCCAGAGACTCAGGAGCAGATCTCTAAACCCAGTGGCTTTTGGCAGAAATCCCTCCAGATTTAAGTGTTAAAATTTCAGAATTTCAAAACCACATGGCCCTACTGCAGCCACACGACATCATATGTTATTCATAATCAGCAGTAGAATACAAATTGTCTATTGTTGCCTTTTCAGCAGATCTGAGTGTTGGGGTAAAATCTCAAATAATGGTGGGTCTGGTGTCGAAATAGCGAATGTGATCAAAGTAGAGAGAGAGAGTAATGTAGAAATCATCTGCCCCACAGGCAGGGGAGGGTGTGGGATGGGGGTATACTGGGGTTGTTGGGGGTGGAGAATGGGCACTGGTGAAGGTACGGGTGTTTCATTGTATGGCTGAGACTTAGACCCAAAAGCTTTGTAACTGCTCTCATGGTGATTCAATAAATAAAATTATAAAAAATGGAAAAAAAAAAGTAAGGTGGAGTTCATGCACAATTCAATCAGCTAATCAGTGGCTGAATAAATAACAGTACTCCTACAAAAAAAAATAGAATTCTCCCCCCCAAAACAATAAAATTGCTGAAAAGGCATTGTGAAATACTTTGTTTTCTATAGCTTGTTATGAGAATCATATAATCTCGCGTGGCCGCAATAGCAGCCTCGCGATTTTTCCAAGAAGCTCTGAGGCAGTGGCCACCTTGTATGCAGTCCAGATACATTTCTGACAAAAGCCTCTGGGTTTTGAGATTTTTTTTTTCTGAGTCTCTGGGATCATGGCCGTTAATTAGCTTGATCAGGAGCCAGAGAGGCCGTTTGTAGGCGGCAACTCGGGGTCTCGGTGGGATGGGGAGGAAAGGGCTGGTTCCACCTCCATCTGGTGAGGCCCCGCATGTCTCTTCATTGCAGGTCCAAACCTGACTGTCCAGTGGCCTCTGGAGGATGGTGGTCACCAGGCCGCCAAGGGGAACAGGCCAAGGCACGAAACCTATTCCCACCCGAAGTGGCCCAGCGCCAGTAACCTACTGCAGGAACAGGATGCATTTCTGCCAAGAAGCCTTTGGGTTCCGAGATTCGTTTCTGAGTCTCTGGGATCATGGCCATTAAGCAATTCGATCAGGAACCAGAAGAGGCCATGCCTCCAATTATATAGCTGAGCCAGAGGTGGTTTGTGGGTGTGTCTCCCACATACCTATCTTTTGGCCATGTACTTTCTTGGTAAACTGTTCCCCAAGTTTTTGAGTTCTGGCCAAAGGCACAGCAGCAGTTTGGGGGTATCTGAAAGCCTGACGGTGCCATCAGCCTGCTGATGCACTCGCCTCACAGGTACAGATTGACCTGCTGGCGGAATCATACCCCCGAGATTTACAACTCTTAACAATTAGTTTTGTGTTTCAGGGTTGAACCCAGGATTTAAAACATACATGTGCTCTACCACTGAGCTGCAATTCGTGGTCATCCTAGTATATGGCTTTAGATCATAAGTTTATGGTCCTGAGCAGTCTCCATCTCATCCCTCAGCTTCTCAAAGCAACATAAGACCATAACCAGTAGCTTGGCTAACTGAAGGGGAGAAAGTATTTATCTCACCCAAAATAAATCCTTGCTTAGGGTCTCTCAAAACAGATCTAAATCATGTGATACTATGTTTCGCTGCACATGTTTACAAAAAAGAAAATTTTCTAAATCATTTATATATAAATGTTTTTCTGGGGTTGGATAATTATAGTATCAGAGTCAAATCCAGGATCTCAGATATGCAAAACATAATCTCTACCACTGAACTGTATACACTCCTGCCCAAATGATTAAATTTTTCAAAATGCTTTTGTACCATTTTGTAAAGATACAAAAGATGTAAAGATTTTGATGTCAAATGGCACGGGAGGCATTTATAAGCCCTGCTAGTGCACAGGGTATGCTCCTCGCTCTGCACTCAAGGACCACTTCTGGTGGGGCTCAGGAGACTATATGGGATGCAGGAGATCAAACCCAGGTTGACCACATGCTAGGCAAGTGCCCTACTCACTACTATCACTCCGGCCTGAGAAGTTGTTATTTATGCATTTAGAATCCAGTTTCAGCTGTAGTTTATAAGGAAGTTTATTAGAATTAATTTAGAACACAATCACGATCACGACCATCCTGTTATTCGTCGATTGCCTCGAGCAGGCCCCAGTAATGTCTCCTTCATCCTAGTACTGAGATTTTTAAGAAAGTGCCATATTCAAGGCTCTTTAGGAGAATGATACCCATCATTGTTACTGGTATTTGGCATATTGGGTACGCCACGGGGAGTTTGCCAGACTCTGCCGTGTGGGCAGGTTACATTCGGTAGCCTGCCAGTTTGTCCTGCCAGTTAGAACACAATTATTTGCTAAAAATGCTATAATTTTAAAAATTCAATTGTCTTTTAAAATATGAATTAATTTTCAATAACCCACACAAAATATGTTATTGTCACAAGCTTTTTTGCAGTTTGTAAAATCTATTTTCTTTCTTTTTTTCTGTACCAACAGGAAAATCAAGAAGATCTAGGCCTATGGGAAGAGAAATTTGGGGAATTTGTGGATAACAAAGTTAATGGTAAAATAAAAACTGGTTTAGTGTTAAAACAGCTCTTTCCAAAATGGCTAAATGTTAACAACATGAAACTCCTTTGAGCCTTATCACCTAGACGAGTACTTCTGTAAGATTAACAAGAAATCTCTTATTTGAATTCCCCTTTCTTCAATGCATTACCAAAGAGCAGTGGTGATTATAGGCCTTTTGTGGAATATAGGAGTCATAATGGCCTCAGGAGCTTACGATCTCAGGAGGGTCCTATGTCCACACACTTTGTACTGTCAGTAGGTCGTAGGTCAGAGAGCCTCAAATTCCACATTATGGTTTTTATTTGTTTCAAGTGATGCCTACCAAGTTCTAATCAGCGCTAACATGCCAAACCAGTAGTTTTCAACATTTTCTAAACCTCCCCCTTAATTCACCTGGTTAGTGTATGCCCATGTGGGACTTTTTTACACTGGGTTTAGTGGTGAGGTGAGCCAGGGGAATAGCAAGGCAGTTTGTTTTTGTAAGAGATGACTTTCAGGTATTTGGGGCTCATTTAGATGATGCGGGGAAGAATATTTTTCTCCTTTTTTCTTATCCTATGTAATTAAAAACTCTCCATAACTCCTGAAGAGCTCCTGTCCTGGCATTTACACCTACAGCCTCACTTAAAATCGGAATTGACATGTCCCAAATTTACAAGTGGGGGTTTTCAGATTCTCCTTTTTGTAACAGTATATTTTTCATCTTCTCTATAGATCCCCTTTCTACAAACTCCTTCAAATACACAATTATTTAATGTCAGATTCTTTTACCTAAGAGTGAATTTAAGTATTTAATGTAATCATTAAATGGAGGACTTTGTTTTTGATTAGAGTCTTTGAAATGTGATCTTTAATCATAGGCAAGGGATATTTTGAGGAGACGATGGCCTGGTCCCCTTGACATTACAGTCCTGTACACAGTAAGATTTAATGATCAGGCAGAAGACACAGCTAGAAAAATTAAAAGTATCCAAAGTATACAAAATCTTTTGTTTTTGAGAGCAAAGAAGGATGCAGTATATTTTATAAAATTTTATTTTATGAAATAATCTAAAAAGATAGCATATTTTACAGATATAAAAGAGATTTTACTATAAAGGAAAATGCAAAGATTCAGCACACAACAAAGAAAACATACTAATAACTGACTAGAATTTTTCCTTGTGTATTTTTTGTATCCTTATAACACCGGAATACAACTTTTTAGAAAAAGTCCCTGACATTTTTAGGGAAAATGAAATTCTTACTCCTAGTCCATTTTTCTAGTTATCTTGCTATGAGCATAGTTAACTGAATCTCCTTAGTTGATTTTCTCACTGAAAAGCAAATTTCAGTCTGTTTCCTGGTTACAACAGGTCCTACATCCATTGGATTGGATTTCTCTTTGCATGGATTTGAACATCTCTATGGGATCCCACAACATGCAGAATCACACCAACTTAAAAATACTGGGTAAAGTGAAAATAAATGTTTGTGTGGGTGGCTCTGGTTTCTGGGTGGAATTTTTTTTAAAAGAAAGTATGTCAGATGTCTGAGTCAGTACTATTAAGTGGCTGACTTATTCATCTTTGATACTCCAAGTGAAACTTTAATATTTGTCTTTGAATTATCACTCAGAGCTGTGGACTTGGGGGAAAAAGCTAAGAATAAAAGCATAGTGTTGAATCTAAAAGTATAGGAAAACAGGTAATTTTTTAAATTGGGCTGCTCTGATTGGAATAGGAAGATCTTTATCACATCACATTTGTGAGTTTTGTTTTCATTTCTCAGGGTTTTCTGTGGAACTCTGGATAAAATACTGTGAAAATACACTGACCTATAAAATTTTACCAGATATTGCCCCAGAAAATGAAAAGGCTTGGCATCTCAAACTTTCTTTTGAGATCACTTCAAATTAACATTATTGATAAATGCCAGATACATCAGACTAAGCAGAAGGAAAATCCAAGAAAAGAGAATCAAGTTTACTAAATTCAGAAGCTTAATGAGTGGGCATTGCAGCAGGTAAACCAGTGACCTACCTTCTGCTGCTCTCACACCAGCCTTACTTAGCTCTGTGTTTACCCCCCCAGTTCAGTTCCTGATCCTTTTCCTCCTCACCTTTTGTCTTAGTGGCAGGGAAGTACTCACAGTATTTTTCAGTGCTACTTATTGTATACTTGCTATTGTAGTAGACTCATAGGAAACAGTACTCCCTTTCAAGAGATAGTTAGAAATATATATATATATATATATATACACATACATATATATGAGATCATTCAAGCCAACTGTCCATTAAGATGATACCAAATAATTCAAAGGAGGAGAATTATAGTTTCCCAGGTTTGATTAGAAAAACTTTAGGGAAGTGGGGAAGTTTAGCCTTAGGAGATTTCTGCATAGAACTCAAGTGTTTGAAGAAGAGAATAAACCATTAATAATATATTTGTGACATAATTAAGGATAATCCTTATTTTGTGTTTCAGTAATGAAGATGCTTACCGTCTTTATAATCTGGATGTATATGGGTATAAAATACATGACAAAATGGGTATTTATGGTTCAGTGCCTTATCTTCTAGCCCACAAACTGGGCAGGACATTGGGTATTTTCTGGCTGAATGCCTCAGAAACACTAGTGGAAATCAATATGGAGCCTGCAGCAGAGGTGAGCTGTGCGTGGGGCTGCATGTCACACCTATAAACGAAACAAAATCAGTGCAGTTTTGTCAAAGCTCTTAGCTTTATTGTGGCAGCTCACTGCCTCCAAAGTCTGTAATAAAATCAGTGACTGTCAATAATCTGTGACTGTTAATAACTAAAGAAACAGATAATTCAATATGAGTGGGTGGTGTAGGTTAGAGGGAAACTTTTCAGACCTTCATTCCATTCCTTTTCTAATATACACATCCCCAGGTAGACCCAGTTGCTGCTAAGCAAAAGGTCAGATCTCGAACTAATGTACACTGGATGTCAGAGAGTGGAATCATTGATGTTTTTCTGCTAACAGGACCCACACCTTCTGATGTCTTCAAGCAGTACTCCTACCTTACAGGTACTTTTATGTAAAAGTGCCAGTTTATAGTTAACATGTTTATTCTTCATATGTATTATGAGTTAGTATTTATTATAGACTGTACCATGTGCAATTATGAACAACTCACCACGTCTTTTTAAGAAGGAAGCTTTCTGTCTCCATCTTTATTCCATTCAACACAGTTAGACATTATACTGTCTAGAACTTACCACTCTCTATTCCTTAATACTTGCCATTTGTCCTCCCTGGAAAACTAAATTTTAGCATTTTCTCTATCTTTATCTCAGTTGACCTATATTCCATTGTGAACTTTTCTATTTTTCCTCATTAAAATATACCACTGTAACGCTGAAACACTTTAGAAGATATAAAAGGTATCAATTGATACACAAAAGCATCTGACAGAATCCAATACTTTTTCATGTTTAAACAGTCAAAAGACCAGGAATAGAAGAAAACTTCCTCAACATGATAAAAAGCATTTATGAAAAATCCACGACTGACGTCATACTCAGTGGTGAAATATTATATGCTTTTCCCTAATAGTGGAAAGAGGACAAGGCTGCCTGCTTTAGCCATAGCTGATCATCATTGTATTGTTTGTTCTAGCCAGAGAAATTAGGTAGAAAAACTTTAATATAGACATCAAAGTTGGAAAGGAGGAAAAAATGATCTGTTTGCAAATGAAGTGATCCTGCATCCTATAAAATCACTGAAAAATCTACTAGAACTAGTAAACAAATTAGTAAAGTTATGGGGCACATGATCTGTAATCAAAAACCAATTGAATGTACACCAGCCAAGAGCAATTCATAAAGATCTTAGGGAAACAATCTATGACAGTTCTTGTATGCAGGAAGCTGGATTTAATCCCTGGCTTTGCATGGTCCTCTCCCGTTCATTACCAGGAGTTAACTGGAGCATCACACTGGCAGTATGCCCTTAACATTGCTAGGTCTGGCAAAATACTAAGAAAGGGAAGAAGGGAAGGAAGGAGGGAGGAAGAGAAGGAAGGAAGGAAGGAAGGAAGGAAGGAAGGAAGGAAGGGCTGTTAATTTTATTGTTATGTCTTGTTAATATACCTTATCTTATATAAGACAATATCTTGTCTTGCTCAAAAAACAAAAACCTAGGAATAAATTTAACCAGGAAATAAAAGACTTGTATACTGAAAACTACAAAACATTTTTGAAAATCACAAAATCACAAATCATCCTGTTATTCGTCTATTGCCTCGAGCAGGCCCCAGTAAAGTCTCTTTAATCCTAGCCCTGAGATTATATTCAAGGCTCTTTAGGAGAATGAGACCCATCATTGTTACCGGTATTTGGCATATTGGGTACACCACGGGGAGTTTGCCAGACTCTGCCGTGTGGGCAGGCTACATTCGGTAGCCTGCCAGTTTGTCTAAAGTAGGAATGAGATAATAAGATGACATAATAAGATGTTGCGCGGCCGCGAATGTGGCCGCGCAGTTCCGGGAGCTGGATTTTTGAAAAAAATTTAAAAATTTCTAAATTTGAGCAAAAGTTGAAAGATACCCATGTTCATGGATTAGAAGATGAATTTTATTAATTTTATGAAGATGATGAAACTACCATAAGCAGTTACCATAAGAAACTACAGATTGATTGCAATCCTTATCAAAATTGCTGTTGTCATATTTGTTAAAAGAAAAAATTGATCCCCAGATTCTGATTATTTCAGAGGTAGTTGGCCCCATTGCTATTTTCCTTTTCCAGGAACACAAGCCATGCCTCCCCTCTTCTCTCTGGGATACCACCAGTGCCGCTGGAATTATGAAGACGAGCAGGATGTAAATGCAGTAGATGCAGGATTTGATGAAAATGACATTCCTTATGATGTCATGTGGCTGGACATAGAGCACACCAATGGCAAAAGATACTTCACCTGGGATCAGAAAAGATTCCCAGACCCCAAGAGGATGCAAGAACTACTCAGGAGCAAAAATCGAAAGGTAAGATAAGCTAACACTTTTGAACTTTTCAATCACAGAGATTTTCTTCTTTCAACTTTTAAAACTTTCCTGAGCATGTTAATAGAGAACTATCTGATTTAAAATGCCATGAAGACTACCTTCTAATGTAATTTTAACTGTGAAAACATAAAAGCAATGGGGAAATCATGGGGACCTCATCCTTCCTAGACTTAGTTGTATAGGTCCCCACAAGGATTAAGGAACTCAGCATTCAGCCCCACCCAGGGTGATCACCCTGTAATGATATGCTGTGTCCCCATCACCATACACACATACAATTTGGTTTCTATATAAGATGGATAATGAAACACCAGTACCAAGAGGGTATGAGATAATTAGTCAGATAACGAAACTCTCTGGGCTTACTCCCGAGCTGGTTTGAGAATAATTTGAGTGAGCTGGAAAAGGGACTAGCTCTGATTTTTATGGTAGATAGAGGGTGTTATGAGGATTATGTGTTTTGGACTTCTTGCTGGCATCAACAGAGGGAGAAACTAGGCTTTTCTTGTCAGCAGCATGCCTGTGAGTTTCCAGAGAAAAGGGTGGAGGGCGGGGAGGGCGGTATGTTGCAACGTTTAGTGGCTGAGAACTGTTCCCCTGGCCAGCCCATAGTGACAGGACAAAGGACAGGGAGAACAGAGAAACAGGGCTCCAGGCTCTAAGCAGTCAGTTTATTTCTCTCTCTTCCCCAGTATTGTCTGATCTCTTCCCTTACAGCACAATCATAGTTGTAGTTTTGGTTGTAATCTCAGTCATCATAGTTCGCTCATCCACGTCTTCATAGCCCTCCTCTTCTAGGCATTGTCTAGTCCTCATAGTCCTCATTTAATTCTGGTTCTTGTCTAGTCCTTCCCTTTCTCATAATCTAGTCCTCATAGTCTAGTTTCCTCTTTCCCCTTACAGCATCGTTATATAGAAATTATTAAGGGGGGTGTACACATAGGTGGGGTTGAACATTATGATAACAACAAACAGAGGTAAAGCCACTCCTTCGGGGGAAGTTCTAGGAGATTAACTCAAGAACAAAATCTCTAAGCACTCCAGATTACTAGAAGATCCACCCAAGGGCAGGATTCCATCCAGGTATTTAGTTTATCCTTTCCTCAGTTAGTAATCCATTTAACCAATCATAGTAAACTTCTTATAATATTTCTAGTCATTTTGTAAGAGATTTATTTTTTTTTCCCTTTATTTTATTTTATTTTTTTTAAAGTTGTAGATTTACAATTTTTTGTGCTTTGGTTTCAATTATACAGTGATCAGATACCCATCCCTCCACCAGTGCCCATTTTCCACCACCATGGATAATATCCCTCCCACCCCCATCCCCCCATCCCCCCTGTCTCTGTGGCAGGACAATCCCCTGTGGTAAGAGATTTATTAAGCTTAAAGTTCGTCTCTTCCTGGGGACATCTTGCTATATATCCTAAACTACAGTCCTCAGGCCAGGTTAATCTTTTCTAAGCCCAGCAGTTACTTCTTTTTGGGTCATGTCAGTTTGTTCCATGACCATGCTCTTAATTTATTGTACTTATGATGCTTAGTTTGTCTCCATTCAATGCCAGGGTAGCTTACAGCTTGCCCTGGGCCCATCCAGTCCTTTTGTTGGAACCTGTCTTTTGGATTACTAGGGACTAAGGGCAACTGAGGTTTAAATCAAGTGAACATGGATGCCTAGGATTAATGTAGGCAGGTAGATAGGGAAAGGCCCTCAGCAATGAAATTTAGGTCAACAGAAATTCTGGGAGGAAAATCCTAAAACTGATCCACCCTGTGGATACAGAAAATAGACCTGATAAGACCTTCAGCAGACCCTCCCTATTAAGTTCCTCAAACCCTGAACCTCTCCCTTAATCTTATTAAAATGTGATCCAGCCCCAGGAGAAACCCTATAAAGGCCACCTTGAACAAAGGAAGGGCGGGCATATGCTGCCCCGAGCCCAGGTGCTGCTTGTGCCCACGCCCACGTGGCCAAGCACATGTGTTGCCTGAGCACATGTGTCACCCACATCTCCCCTTTTGAGATGTATACTTTCATACTTTCGTGTCAAATACTAGGATGTGTGTAGGGGCTCTCTCCGACCTTGGAGAAGCCCATGCTCTCTCTTGAGTGCATCACTCTCTCTCACTCTCTCCACCTCCACACCTTAAAAATTCTCCAAATAAAATCTACTTATTTCACTGCTTGTCTACTCCTGAAATTACTTTCTGCGAGGCGAGACAAGAACCCAGTGACCCTGGGTCCCAGATGGCAGAGGCTGATGGGGAGAAGGTGACTATCTTTCTCCTCCCCGCTTTAGATAGGTCTCCCATGGGGCCCACAGACATCAGGAGTAAATATTATTTTGGAGTCAGTTAACTACCATGTTACAAAAGCATAACATCAACTATCTGTGTCTATACAAAAAGGACATTGCTAAATAAACCATGCAAATGACATAAAGGAAAGAGAAAAGCAATATAGGATTATTAGTGCTTGATGGAATTAGGGGGCACTGTTGTGGGAGTGGCTCAATAAACCTAAGCTCCCTGCGGGAGGAGCAAGGACACCCCAAAGCTCTCCAACACATGCCCAGGTGGCTAAGGGCAGAAGAGTAGGAAGGAATGGTGGGACTTGAAATTCAATAGTTAAAATAGGGAAACAGATTCTGATAATTTATTCTACATTCTTCTGATGTTGGTGGACCCCAGAGTGGCACAGTGAGTCGGGGAGGAGAAAAAGATGGTCACCCTCTCCCAATCCACCTCTGCCACCCGGGACCCACTGGGAAGATTAGGACTGATAAAATCTGCAATGAACCCCTGCTCTGCATGGGCCTGAGCCCTGCCAGCCCCACCAGGTGACCATAAGACACTTGAAGTCTGCTTGGTCTTCCGGGTACAGAAGTTGATTCCCCAGCATCCGATTTCTCATGGAGCCATGAACTCAGGTTGAAGTGAAAATTTGCTTTTTGCAGTATTGGAGAAACCAATCCCAGGCCTTACCCAGGGTTTGGGGGGTTCTTGTCTCACCTTGCAGAAAAAAATTTCAGAAGTAGACAGGGAAGTAAAACATTTTATTTGGAGGGTTTTTGAAGGTGTGGAGGAGGAGGAGGAGGAGGGTGTGTGAGAGAGAGACAGAGAGACAGAGAGACAGAGAGACAGAGAGACAGAAAGAGAGACATGTTTACTGGCCTCTCCAAGGGCAGAGAGAGCCCTTGCACAGATCCCAGCATTAGACATGAAAGCATGAAAGTACACGTCTCAAGAGGGGAGATGTGGGAGGCACATGTGCTCAGGTACTACATGTGCTCGGCCACACGGGCACAAGCAGCACATGGGCTCAGGCAGCATATGTGCGCTCTCCCTTTGGTCAAGGTGGCTTTTATAGAGTTTTTATAGGGTTTTTCAACCTGCCCCCATGCTGGGTTTCTGCCTAGATAGGAGTCTGTTGCTAAGTGGATAGAATTTAGTGCAGCCTTTGAAACTCCTTTCCTTGACCTTCGGTCCTGTTGGATCTTCTCTGGGCTAAATCACTAAAGTTAATTGGATTAAGGTAGAGGCCCAAGGGTATTCATGAGGGATTTCCTTCCTAGGAAGGGATCCAGTATCCTCAGGGTCAGCAGCTGCTGGAGGTCTTATCTCCAGTCTTGCTTTCTGTATCCACAAGGTCAGTCAGTCTTAGGACTTTCCTTCCCAGAAATTTTTTTAACCTAGGAAATTTTTATTCCCTGTCTACCTACCTACATCACTTCCATGATGGGTTCAGTTCGACATGTTAATATGGTCAAGGAAAGCACTAAAATGGAAAATGGGGAGGAAGGGAACCCCTAGACAGTGTGTAATGCGAAAGTGATAATGGTAGTAGTAGTAATAATGAAAAGAGGTAGAACATGAAGGTAATGGAGACAAGGGGAGAGGAAAGGGTCATGGAGCATATGTATCATGTAAATGGGTTCCATTGCAGAGTTGTCTTTCAATCCATTCCTTTGATCCCCAGGCTTTTCACAGGTGACCTGATAGCTTTACCATTTGTAGGAACCACTTATTATGGGTTAGGCCCTAGGATAAAACACGTTATCCAGTCTTTACAAAATCATGAGATACAGTTTTTTATCCTGGTTCTCAAAGAAACTGAGGTTGAGAGTTAAGATTTTGTATTTTGAACAAGGGCATACAGTAAATTAGTAGCAGGGCATAAATCTAAACTCTGACTTGCCTGACACCAGAAGTGGTCTGTATTTGCATCTATTGACTGAGTTCTTATGTTTTAAGTTGCTTTGCTAATGTTAAAGGGAATGTGGAGATCAGTCCCCTGGGGTCTTATAGTGAGTATGGGGGAAAGATCATTTACAACGACCTTAAAACAGTGCTGTAACACAATGGCTAAAAGTAGGTCAGGGTAGGGTAGCAAGAGAAAGAAGGGGTTATTTGGTTGGGTGAAATAGGGCATATTGTACCTACCAGATGCACAACCCTGAGGATGTGTCCCTAACTAGTATTTAAGCAGGGGTGTGGGGATGGAGCACAAGTGAGCAGAGGCTGGAACATCTGGAGGTGTTTGGAAAGCAGCAGAATCAATTTGATAGGTAAAAAAGGCATGCCCAAGATTTGGGTGCTCTCAGTCTGATTTTGTTGGTGGTTGATCATGGGCTGGAGCGATAGCACAGTGGGTAGGGTATTTGCCTTGCACGCAGCTGACCCAGCCGACCGGGTTTGATTCCTCTGCCCCTCTTGGAGAGCCCGACAAGCTACCAAGAGTATCTCGCCCACACGGCAAAGCCTGGCAAGCTACCCGTAACGTATTCGATATGCCAAAAATAGTAACAAGAAGTCTCACAACGGAGACGTTACTGGTGCCCTCTGGAGCTCAAATCAATGAACAATGGGAGGACAGTGATTATAATCACGATCATGACCATCCTGTTGTTCGTCGATTGCCTCGAGCAGGCCCCAGTAATGTCTCCTTCGTCCTAGCCTTGAGATTTTTAAAAAGTGCC